TTGGGTATGTGGAATTTCGATAAGGACAAGGATCCCTTAATGTACAATCTCGTGGACCCTCCTCTTCAAAACACCATTCATGTTCCCAAAGATGGGTGGGTGGCCATAAGATTCAAGGCTAACAATCCTGGTACGTATAAGTTTTATTTTCAAAATAAAGTTTATTAAAACATGTAATACAAGCTGTTAATTCATAGATTTCTTTGGATATATGGTTCCTGCATTTTATGATTGTTTAATTTCTTCCATTCAGTGCAAAAAAAGAGGAAAAAAAATTAAACAGCAAATTAGTTTTATTGCTTGTTCAAGGGGCTCTCTCCAACCCATTACGCACTTTCAATTAGTGCAAATGTTTGAGCTTTAATTGGTGGTGTCACCCTCCAAAATCAGAAGTTAATTAAAGCATTTTGGACTGACATTTCAAAATTGTTATGGTTGTTGTTATCATTGACTTCTTTTTTTGTTTTTCTGTCTCTTTTTTCTTCTTGAATAGGAGTATGGTACATGCATTGCCATTTTGATCGACACATGGTATGGGGCATGGATGCGGTGTTCATAGTTAAAGATGGCGAATCTCCGGAGGCCAAAATGTTGCCGCCACCACCTGGCATGCCTCCATGTTAAGGCTATCTCAATTATATCCAAGGTTGCAAATTAAGTCTTCGGGTCAAGAAAGATATGTTCTCCCATAAAACATATCTGGACAAAAAGAAGCACGGTAATCCACATGTATTTGTATTTAAAATACATTTATTTAAAATACATGTATTTAAAATATATGTATTTTAAAAGACATTGTTTGGATTGAAATAAAAAAAAAATAATTTTCAAATACATGTATGTTTAAATTTATTGTTTGGATATTTTGAAATACTATACATTTAAAATTAAATTTTTCCTATTAAATTAAATTTTTTTTATCATTATTTAAATTTAATAAACCCAAAGTTAACAATTTTAATCTTTTAAGGCATTATTTAAATTACCCAAGACAAACAAAAAAGAACAATGACCTTCATTGATCAATTTGTTTCCATATTCTCTATTTTCTATTCACTTTTTCCATTGTCATACAATATTAAATTTTTGTAAAGATGGATTTATTATGGATACGCACACAATCCACTAGCTAGAGAATAAACTAGCTAGAGAATAAACAAAACTAGGATGTTCAAATAAAAATAACAACCACACCTACTCCTCAATCATCATACTATATACCGTTTGAGAAGTTAACACAAAATTTCTAAAACTACCCAAAGAAACTTCACCAAATCTCACTCTTAATTAGTTTCCATATTCTGTTGGGAACTCACAAGTTCCATATCCTGCAAGAAAAATCAACTTAGATTTAGTACGAAACCCAAAAGGTCAAAGACACAAAGCTAGAAAAACAATGAATGGGAAGAAATTGTAAGAAAAATGCCTAAAGGTGAAATTACTAACCCACTAACCAAGGATGACAAGGAGAAGAACTTACAGCATACTTGGAGAAGAACTCTACAGCAACTATGCATCTCACATTCATTCCATAATTCATATTAGAGACTTGGAGCTTAAGCATAAGAAATTAGTTTATTTATTACTTCTAGCATCAAATATCTTGAGATACTGTCAATTTTGCAAACACTGTCAGCCTTATCAGGCCAAGCAAAATATACCATATGCAGTAAGCCCGAAAAATGGAACAGAGGAAGCAAAGGAAAAAGTGTAGAGAAAGAGTTTTAGTATCATACTAACGTGCACCACTTGCCACCTCCGCAACAAACTTCTGCATTGCAACAGCAACCAGCCTTGTTCTGCAAAAGTATGCAAGAAATTAAGTTGAAATTTTACCTTTGTACATAACATAACAAAAAAGGCAACCTACAACATGTCACATTTAAGGAAAAATTTTAAAGTTGGAAATATGATACTAGAGATTCTAAATCAAATATTAGATTTACATGAGATATGTATTGGAGCTCCTTGAATCGAGCAGTTTTCACAATATCAGTCTAGGGTGGGAGCTCAATCTGTTTACAAGGACAACAGAAGAGAAGGCCACATATTAGCAAAGCACCACAATCCAACATGTGCAATAGACATTATATAATTGTATACTAATAATAGTTATGAAAACATAGCACAGAATGCTCCTACTTTGTAAGTTGTAAACCTTTTGCTACCTCCCCCAACACACACAAAACCTCAGCTTCTTCCCCAATATTAAACTTTTTTTCAGGATTAGAATAAAAAAATTTGTTAACTAAAGCCACATCTATGTAGCGGGCAGTGACCTAAATCCCTAGTTCAGAACATCTGACGTCTTCACTAGCAAAAAATTTACAGAAGCGCAACAATTTCCCTGGGATGTTCCTGATGTAGTAAGCCAGAGGAACAAGAACTAATCAAGTCAGATTTATTTGCAACATGGTGTTGAACGACACCAGACAAAGCTAATCAAAATGAATCAAGAGCACATAAATCAGAAAAAGCTTTTATCTGCGAAGAACAGAGAACAAAAGAAACAGACTCGCTTCCGCTATCCCTTATTCTCCACCATTTTCCCAGAATCCAAACAGAACTGAGGCAATCAAATGCAGGAGCAACACGTATCTTCAATTTCTTCAAAGGAAACGCAAGCCACAAAAAGAAGTCCACAGCCAACAAATTTTTAAGCTACACTAATCTGTAATCAACCAAAAATACTGGGTTTAAGCGCAAAACCACTGGGTTTTGAATACAAAAGATTGGGCAACTACCCATGACTAGAAAGAAGGTGAAGCTCCAATACATATCCAATGATTCTGCAAGGAAAGCCTCCTTTAAGAAAAGAAAGAAGGGTCTCATGAAGAAGGCAAGTGAACTCACCACCCTATGCGGGATTGATGCATGTGCGATTGTCTATAGCCCATATGACTATCAAACGGAGATCTGGCCTTCCCCCGCTAGAGTCCAGCGTGTCTTGTCCCCCGGTTCAAGAAGCTGCCGGAGATGGAGCAGAGCAAAAAGATGGTGCGGAGAAAACCACTAATTTC